AACTCCAGCAACCTGAGGCTGACAGCCTTGTGGAAGCAGCCACTTAAAGGCCTGAGCTAGGGCCAGGCCCCCCATCATTCTTTCTAGTGAATTGATCACTGTTAGGCAAGGATGGAAAGTTCATACCTGACCTGGATTGCCCTGTAGGAGTCTGGTGCTGTCTCTCTCTGCTTTCATTTACACTGATGACTGTTTTCACATTTGCCCTGTGTTCTGAGGTAAGCATGCTGACTTGGTCTTTCTGAAATGGGGGCAGGATCTCATTTTGGATTTACATGAATTTCCCCAAATAAATAAATTATTGGTGACTTATTGCTTGCTAGATAAAGGAAAACTTTAATCACCACAAGGCACTCACTCCTCCCACTTCCAACTTTCATAATGGTAGCAGATGAAAGGAATACAGAATTTTATGCCCTATGGCCCTTCACATAGTGGCCTTTCCATCCTTTAATAGTTTTCCAATGTGCAGATGGAAAACTTGTTTAAAGATACATTATGACTCCATGTACTTCCTTGGTTTGCATGGAGCTCAAGTGGGGCTATTGCAGAATACAAATTTTGTAAAACTATCTTTTTTCCCCTTTAATTATATTCATGTGTTAGGTACTTAGGCTGATTTATGCCAGATCTATATCAATACATTACTGTGGAAGTTAATGAAGAACTGGAGGCTGCCTTCCAGCCCCCTAGGACTGGAGGCTAGAAGCCCAAACTGCCTTACTGCTTTTAGGATTATTTTTAAAAGTAATAAGGAGTGTAATGTTACCACTCTAGTCACAGTGAACTTCTCTGAATTCAGATTATTCTACCATTAGAATCTTTGTATCAGAATGGAACAAAAATGTTACTGACTTCCTTTAATGTTCTTGGGCTTTCTATCATGAACACCATTTATTATTTTATTTTCATTGTCCTTGGAATAATTGTCAGTTGAGCACATCTTCATTCCTATTTACTTAAGCATCAATGCTTTTTAAGAAGGTGTACAAAGTTTTTAATTGAATATATACTCTTGAGAAGTTTCTACTCCTGAGTGTATTTGAGAAACTCAATCATGAAATTGGCCATCTTGCTAGGGTTACAGAAACCAGAATGATGGGGTTTTCTTTGCCCCTTTTAAAGAGTAGTGATTGGGGCCCCCACAAAAAAACCCGAACAAACAAACAAAATAAATAAAGAGTAGTGGTGGTGCCAAAATAATACCTGACTTCTTTTTAGGTGTTAGAGAGAGAAAAGTCCTGACAGGAGGACCACTAATTAAGTGTTAATTGTCTTCCTTTGGCAAGCTCTGCTCTTCCTGCCCTTAATTTGCTGATCTCTGTTCAGTGTCTGCAACAATACACATACTAGTATTTTCATTTATGAACAAATTTGAACAGTTGTCACCTGAAATTGTAGGTGTTGTAGTGAGTGAATTTGAGGTTGTGAGACCACCTCAAGGTCCCCTGAAACTCAAAAGCAATAAATTCACCATTGCTTCTGGATTTCAGGAAAAAAAAAGACAAAACCACATCCCCAATGAAATATTGTTTCATGTCTTATAAGATGCATTATTCATGAGAACTGCTGCAAAGTAGTTTTCTTCATTATTGAAAGAAAAATCATTAATGCCCTGTATGAATAGAGTAGCAGGACTGAGAAGTCACCTGTGATGAAACTTTGTAACTCATACATTTCCACCGGATCTTTGCAGTGGGAGGAAGTGAGCATTATGGATGAAAAAAATACGCCAATCCGAACCTACCAAGTGTGCAATGTGATGGAGCCCAGTCAGAATAACTGGCTGCGAACTGACTGGATCACCCGAGAAGGGGCTCAGAGGGTGTACATTGAGATCAAGTTCACCTTGCGGGACTGCAACAGTCTCCCAGGGGTCATGGGGACTTGCAAGGAGACGTTTAACCTGTACTACTATGAGTCGGACAACGACAAGGAGCGTTTCATCAGAGAGAGTCAGTTTGGTAAGATTGACACCATCGCTGCTGATGAGAGCTTCACCCAAGTGGACATTGGCGACAGGATCATGAAGCTCAACACTGAGATCCGGGATGTTGGGCCACTGAGCAAAAAGGGGTTTTACCTGGCTTTTCAGGACGTGGGTGCTTGCATCGCTCTGGTGTCCGTCCGCGTGTTCTATAAGAAATGTCCTCTCACCGTCCGCAACCTGGCCCAGTTTCCAGACACCATCACAGGGGCTGATACCTCCTCCCTGGTGGAAGTTCGAGGCTCTTGTGTCAACAACTCGGAAGAGAAGGATGTGCCAAAAATGTACTGCGGGGCAGATGGCGAGTGGCTGGTCCCCATTGGCAACTGCCTCTGCAATGCTGGCCATGAGGAGCAGAACGGAGAATGCCAAGGTAAGGGGAGCCATATTGTACTTTTCATTAGGGCTTAGTGCACATAATTAAATCAGAGATGAGACTAAATGGAGTAAAGCCAGTAATTAGCAGCCCCTGTGGGATGTGACGGGACAGCGGGGTCTAATGAGCAAGCGCTAGAGCTCCAGGTGGCAAGGCTGAGACTTTTCTAACACTGACAAAATAAACGGAGCTGCTGTAATCAGTGGAAGGCCAAGCACATTTGCTAACAGGCACTTAGATCCGAGCCTGCTTGATGCACCCTCTGAAATGTAAATGAACAGCAGAGAAATGGGCTTGATTGATCCATCTTTAAGGAGGGAGCCATGACTTTCGCATGTACAGACTTGCTAAAATGGCAGAGATAGTGAATGTGCACTCAAGTATACATGCACGAATTATTTAAGTGGGAAATCAGTATGGTGTTGCTCTAGTTTTCTGCCACCGATTAAAATCAAGCCATGTAAAGAAAGCTCTTTTTGTCCCTATACCTGTGGATCAGAGAAGTAACGAAGTGGAGGAAGACTATTTCAAGAACTTACTCTTCCACTGAGCACTCACTCATTGACAGGGTCTCTACGCCAGATCAATCTTAGTGAAAGACCTCTTTATTTCTCTTAGGAGATGATAATAGAGTTAGTAAGCATCTTCTTATTGGATCTGTGGTCAGAAACAATAGTAAAGTGCAATGCATTTTGTTATTGAGTTTTTGAAAAATAATGTAGTTTTTATCATGTTAATTACGTCTTTACCGTATTACTAAGGTGATTCTTTTTCTCACCTCTAGTTTAATGTTTGCAATCCATTCTTGCCTTATTTCCCTTTTCTGTCGCAATGCTGGGAGGTCATTAGCTTCAAAGCAGTTTTGTAGCAGAGTAAGAGGTGAGAGTATCAGTATTTATATGATGGCACATGTATGTGTACCTTAAGTCTAAGATCAGTTATCCCAGGTTTTTACCTTTCTTGTTTTTTATTTTTTTATTTACTTACTCACTTGGCTTGGTTTTTGGTTTTGATGGTTATCAATTGTCTTCTGCTGCCTACTCTATGGTTGTCAGTCCTCTACAGTTACAGTAGAACTGTGTTCCCTCTGCCACAGATCAGAGTCATCTTTTCTTTCAGTGATGGTTGAACTATAGACTGTATCACCACGTGGCTCAACTGACTTGATGATTAAAGGACCTGAATTCACTGAGTGACAAACAATTTGTCTGGCATTTCAACCATCTTAATGACAGGGTGGGATTAACTATGGGGCATTGCACTTGATTGACTGAGAGTCAGCAGTCCTAACCCAAAGAAAATTGTGTTCTTGGTAATTCGGTGTGATAAAGTTCAATGCTTCTCCCCTCATCGTTTGTATTTTCCCTGAGCATCATTACTAATCTGCTGTTGTTATTTCTAATGTTGAACTCCCTTACTTACATTGCAAATTGAACAGATTAAGGACTGGCTAACTTTCTCTTAAATAAGAAAGAACTAGTAAATCTAAAAAACTGAATGTGAAATTTTTATGAAGATTCATTTTCTGCTGTTTTGTTTGCTTTTGACCGGGCAGCTATTTGATCAGCTGCACTGAATGCAATGCACCCTGAAGTATGTTCTGGTATTAACATTAGAAAATATGTGAGGGCATTGTTATTGGCAGCTAAATTACAATGATCATAGCAGGGATGGGGAAATGAACAAGGCAGAGTGACACTGCGCCACATCTGAGAGTGAATTATTCTGCCTTTTTGAGTTTTGTAAGACTTGTACATCTTCATATGTCAAGATTCCTATATGCATTTAAGAGCATGCGCAAGTGCACCCGCGCGCGCGCGCACACACACACACACACACACACTGGTTTCCATTTCCTGCTGAAATGTTCAGCCGTCTAGCATTAGCTCAGCTCCCTGTATCCGATGCCATTGATTTTTCAGTTGTCATATAGCCCAGTACCTCATATGTTGTTGCACTGTGCAACTCCTTGGCACTTATACAGCCCACATTAGGAGGAAAAGAGAAAAGATGTAGGGCAAAATGAATGAAAGGCAATTGAACATTTTAGTGGTTTGCTTCGTGCAAATAATCTTGGGAATCCAGTTAAACATGTGGTTCATGGAAAGGGAGGGGCCTGATGATTCAGGTCCTGTCTGTTTCAGAGCAACTTGTTTCTTTTTCTTTTCTTTCTTTTTTTTTTTTTCCATAATTTTATTGAGAAACAAATAGCAATGAGACAGTTTCAAATCAAATAGGTAGGACAGTTTCAATAAGCAACTTGTTTCTAGCTGGCCATGGAAGGAGAAAGTTGAATGGGTTTATTTATTTATTTATTTATTTATTTAAGATATTTCAGTGTTTTCATACATGCAACCAGGTTTTTTAAAAATAATTTATTTGGTCTTTCTTAAAAAATATTAGCTCCTTTATGAAGAAACTTGTGTTCAACACATTACACTCTGCTTACCAGTTTTATTTGTGCCAAGTAAGACTCCCTGCATTTATGAAAGAAGGAAAAACTTGACTAACAAGGATCCTTAAATTTCAAACTTGAAAAAGATAACGCAACACCATAAAATCCCAGTAACAATCTTTGATCCTTGACATTGCTGGTATCAAAGAAGCACCCAGGCATTGCTGAAAGAAAGTGGAAATGAGGAAATTCATTTCAATTTGGTCACTTAGCTGCTTGACTTTGTTTGTTTTGTTTTGTTGCAGAACTGGGGATTGAACTCAGGCCCTTGTGCTTACCAGGGAAGCACTTATTCCATGTCCCTGGCCCCAGCTGCTTGACTTTGGACACATTTTTTAAACCTTCTGAACCTCAGTTTGTTCATCTAGCAAATGGGATGAGAAAAGTATTCCTTAACTCACAAACTTGCTGTAAGACTTAGTGATTGAAGATTGGTAAAGGTCACCCTGTAGATCATAAAACACAAGTAGGTGTGCCTGTCTTTGTTCATCTACTCTTCTTCAAGTCATAGCTGTTGACATTAAATTTGCTGAGATGAAGCAATAAAAAGGAAATGACCTCTCTGTAACTCTCCAAAGTCAAGGCTAGGAAAGGAAGCATCTCTGTATCCATTGCTCTAATAAAGAATAATGACTTTTCACACTTCATGTGGAAAATGTTTGGAAAAGCGCCTCCCTCCCACCCCCCACAAGAAAGAACTTTCCTTTGAATGAGAGGCCAGTGCTTTGGGAATGGGACAAAAACTAGTGTAAGGACAGCTTAGGAAGGAATGCGAAGCAGCATGGGCTGAGGCTTCAGAGCTCTTGGCAGCAGGTTCCTCCCCATTGTCCTTTCAATGAGTCCGCTAGGCAGGACAAATAGAAGGACAGGTGAAAGGTCATCTCCTTCCTCATCCATCTTCCTTAGGGTCTGGGAGGTCAGAGTGAAGATTGATTAAGATCTTAAATGTTTGACAAAGGATCCTTGGGTAAAAATGGCCAGGGTGAGCTGGGGCCTCGGGTGTGCTGTTGTTTGACTCTAACCCTGATCATCCACGGGAGTCATCAGGGACCTTGGGGACAGCACTACACTTCCTCTTGGAGTTCTGCTGCCCAGTAGTGCATGCTAATGTGAAGCCTGGAAGGTGTCAAGAACGTGGGGAGACGGTGAGCCTGCCTCACCACGGCTGCAAGTTCATTGCACGCTTCAATAGCATTTTCTGAAATGATTAGGTTTGGTCTCCTAAGGACAACAAAGCATGTTAGCCACTTGTCCGGCCTCGTGACCGGGTGCAGAGGACGACTGAACCATGCTAGGCTAGGCACCAGGCTTGGTGCGGCCATCAAAGAAAAGAGAGAAAGCCCAGCCAGAGCTTCCTTCTGTGCCCCTCTGGGTGAGGAAATGTGCCTGACACACTTGGGACCCTGTTCCTTATTGCAGAAACAGCTCAGTGAACAGAGGAAAAAGTTCTTTGCTGTCTTTTGCACTAATGAAAAATCTTTAACAGTTAGGAGAGAGGCCGAGAGTTACTCTTTGGATAGTAACAAGCAGTATATGCAGAGAGCATATGCATATAGATAATACTAGCAAAAAGAAAACAACATTCTTAATAGGGTTCTTAAGGTCAAAGAGTCACACTTGTGAAAAAATTGTTAGGCAGGAATCAAGAATTGGTAGCATACATATGTGTATTTGATGTGGAGGTGTAATTCAGTGGTTGAGGCCATTAATCCTTAAATCTCCAGTATCCCAACAGGAAATAAAACTGTGTAATTTCACTGTAAATTGAGTTATCATCTAGGACCCACAGTAAATATTGTATCTATAGTGTGTGCAGATCAGCAAAAGGAATTGTACCAAAAGCTCTTAAGAAAACAAGACAAGTGACAGGGCAGCTATTAATAAAAATAAACTTTATGTCCTGAAAAAGGGGAGGGACTTATGTCCCCTCTCACAGAGAGAGAGAGAGAGAGAGAGAGAGAGAGAGAGAGAGAGACAGAGAGAGAGAGAGAGAGACAGAGACAGAGACAGAGACTTTGTTTTTTCTAATGTACTATAAAAAGGACTATAGAAGAAAGGTGCAATGGAAAGGAAGCATTTAAAATATGGTTCAGAGAGATGCTGCTTTATGTCCTTTCCACTTTTGAAATTCTTTTTCTGCCTTTGAATTGAGTCTTTAAGAATCCATTGCTTGAATCACAGAGCCGCTTTTATCTCCGGCTTTGAAGCATGTCTGTGATCACTGAATAACGTGCTGCTTTATGTAGGAGAAGAGTAGAGTTTAATTATTGTCCTTTTTTCTGTTACACTTTTTTTCCTTCTTTGTGTGACCAGGTTTCTTTTGTGAGTGTGAATCAGGCAGTGGTCTCTATTTTGGGTTCGTCAAAGCCTCACATAGGAATTATCTCAGTTAGAGATTTTTGAAATATGGTATTTACGATTTGATGACTTATTTTAGTCCAACTGAGCTTCCATGTACTTTTCAAAAGTGAATTAAGACGTAATTATTCTGTTAATACTTGAGCCTTTAGGAAAAAGACTGATTAAATGGTTTTGCAGTTAC